CCCCAAAACCCCAAAACCCCAAAACCCCAAAACCCCAAAACCCCTGATTCGACAAGAATAATTGAAATTTGAATATTTTATTCTTAATTTTCTCTCACCCATTCTACCAATCTGCCCAGAACTGGTTCAAGTTCACCGTTGTCTTTCAAAACGCTCTCCAAAATTTCTGATATTTTCCCATTTTGATCTTGGTGGTCGCCAAATGCCTGTTCTAGGTTGTCTTCTTCGACTGTAGGTCTGAATCTTCCATTGATTATATCAAGGTATCTCTTTCCTTCAGTCTGAGCTTTGTAGATATCAAACAGATTCTTTTGTCTTTCCATTTTCATGGCTGATAAATCCATTTGGAAGTTCTGATGTTCTTCATCAATGCCCTGCATTTCTCCTGAAGCTTTCTCGATTTCATCTCCAACTTCTTCTAACTCTTTAACTTTCTGTTCGATAGTTCCGTCTAGCTGGATCGAAGACTCAGTGGTGTGTTTCAGAGTTTGCTTTAGATTGGCAATTTGTCTAGAGAGTTTCCCTTGAGAAGTCTTATCTTGTGCATTCTTCTTCTCAACCTTAGGAAGATATTTTAGTTGAATAGTTTCTCTTTTAAAGACAGCTCTCTCCATGTTTTTGATCATCTGTTCTTGATTCTTTTTGAGTTGTTCGTATCTGAGCTCCATTCTATGAATTTCCTGTTTCATGGCTACGATTTCACTCTGACCAATATTTGGATCAAGAGTGTCCTGCATTTCTTTTTCGAGTTGAATCTTTCTTTCCCAAAGTAAGATTTGTCTTTCAGCTTCAACGATCTCTGCAAGAATGTCAGCCTTCTCTTCTTTGAGGTTTTGGATGTTGTTTTCCAACTTGATACTTTCGTTTTCAAGTTCTTTGAGCTTTTGAACGAACTCATTTTCTAAGTTGAAATTTTCGTTCTTGAGGTTCTTCTGGCGATCTAGATTGTCACTGAAAGTATCGTTGAGCTTGTTCATATCGAAGTCAAGATTCTTCAGAGCAATTTCTAATTGACGAATTTGTTTTTCTTGAGAAGAATAATTCTGATTGAGCCTCATTTTCTTTTGTTCAAGGATGATTCTCTTGGTTTTGTACTGATCGTTTGTTCCCTGGTTTTCCAAAAGAGTATGCTGGTTTGTTACGAACTTAGTCTGGTTATTGATCCACTCCTTTTTGATGTTGTCAATTTCATCTTCTGTATCAGTTATTTCCTTTTCAATATTTTTCTTTTTAGCAACCAGAGGTACAGCACTAGCTTGCTTATCGCTTCTACTAAGCTCTCCAAGTTGAGTGTTCAGTTTGTCAACATCATACATTCTCATGGTAATCTTTCCAAGATTAGCCTGTATCTCAGATTCATGTTTAGAGACTTCTTTCTCTTTTCGTTCGAGTTCTTCTTTCAAAGATTTAAATTTCTTTTCAAGTAATTCATTCTGTGTTTTAGTATTGAGAACATCGATTCTCACTCTTGAAATTTCATTTGCAATATCTTCAATTTCAACTTCTTTCTTGTTAATATCCATGTACATTCCTTCAGTTTGCTTGTTGAGATTAGCTGAACTCTTCTCAATCGTCTTTTGTTGAGAAGCAAACTGGATAATATCATCTCTGAGTTTCTTTGTCTTTGAATGCAAAGTCATTATCGACTTTTCAAGCGTAGTCATCTGATGGATCACTTCAGATTTCTCAATATCAAGTCTCTGAAGTTCACCTTCCGTAGAATTCAAAGACTTCTGAAGCATTTTCTTTTGCTCTTCAAGTCGCTTGATGTCATCTTCGGTTTGCTTACGCTTGTCTTCGAGAAACTTTCTTTCAACTCCATATTTTCCTTGTCTTTGATGCAAGCGCTCTGAAATGTTTTCTTCAACTTTGATTTCTTTCTTTGCTCCATTGATTTCAATATCTATTCTCTTGATTTCCTGTTTCTTATCTTTAACCAATTGCTTGAGAGACTGCAAAGCTGAGTCTTTGTATCTCATATCTTTGATGGAGTTTTTCCAATCGGAAAGCAGAGTCTTCTTAGCCATAATAACTTTATCAATTTCTTTACTAGCTTCAGCCAAGGTGTCTCTTGCAGCTGCAGTCTCTTCCCTCTGAGAAATCAATTGAGCCTGATACAGAGCTTTATTGTCATTAAGCCTTTTAATTTCTTCATTCATTGTATCAATGAGGAGATCTTGTTCTTTCTTTTCTCTTTCAAGATTGACAACTCCTTCTTCCACATTGTAAGCTGCTCTTCTGGTAGTAGCAATTTCTCCTTTCATAACTTCATTGTATTCCTCAACTTGCTTCAAAGTTCTGTTGAGCTGATTGAGTTCGTCTTGAGCTCTGAGGACCTTTTTGAGTTGCTCATCCGCCTCTTCTTTTCTCTGCTCGTACTGCTTTTGGAAAACTTCAAGTTGTTTTTCAGACTCAATTCTGTATTTTTGGACAATGTTATAATTATCATGTGTTCTTTCAAAAGTAAGCTGCATTTTAGCCAGCTGATGTTGGACCCCATAGAGTTGTACACCGACTTCTTCTCTTCCTTTCTTTACTTTTCTGAGTTCTTCTTCTTTTTCGCGGAGCTGGAGGTCTCTTCGTTCATGTTCGTCAGTAAGCTGCTTCATCAGAGCTTTCTGAATTCGTGACATGAGAGGGTGATCGGCAGGAAGGAAAAGAACATCAGTTCCATCTTCAAAATACTGTTCATCTTCCTGGTTATTGTCTTCATTATCTTCTTCATCTGGATCTGGATCTTCTTCTTCGTCATCGTTGTTACCTACTCCTGGAATAGCATCTACCCCTTCAGGAGCAGTTGTTGGTCCAAGAGGGTGAGTATTTGGGTCATCGTCCATTGGAGGAGGAGAGTTACTGTAATTATCTCCATCATTATTTTCTTCAGGGTCCATTTCCAAATTTATTTTGAAAATTAATTATTATATAAAACCACATTTATTTCAAAATAAATATTTGATAATGGGGTTTTGGGGTTTTGGGGTTTTGGGGTTTTGGGGTTTTGGGGTTTTGGGG